GGGGAACAGTGGGAGGGCTTCTAGTGTCCTGGCCCCACTGCTGGACCTCCTGATGGCACCTGGTATTTTTGGCTACTGTGAGACAGGGTGTTGGACTAGATGGGTCATTGGCCTAGATCCAACATTGGCTTCTCTTATGTTTTTATGAAGGGAGTGTTGACTCTCAAAAGCTTATATCCCAAAAATGTTGTTGGTCTCTAAGGTGCTACTGGAATAAAATCTAGCTGTTCTACTGCAGACCAATGTGGCTACCCTCTGAAAAGATGGAACATGGCATCTTGCACGTGGAAAAAAATGTGTGCACAAGCCTGAGACACTGTTATCTGATGGAGGGAAAGAACAGCAACTCTAAAGGATCCAACAGCAAGTATTTTACTCTCCACAGATGGTTGTCCAACTGGACTGAAAAATTCCCAGCCTCTCTTTGGAGCCACAGTAACAACCAGTTCATTTATTTTCAGCACTAATTCCTAGCAGGGACTAAGGCAGTCTAAAAAAGACTGACCCAAATTAAAGGAACAGACATTGCAGGCATAAGCTGTGAGATACATGGGTATCTGAAGAAGACAGACTGACAAAAGCTCTTCTTAAAATAAATGTTACTGTCATTGAGCTGTTGTTTTATTATACAAACTGGCACTAGAGATTCTGAATGGCCTCAATTTATAACACTTTGGCCAATACCCTTCATGTTCCAGGATGGATTAAAACAGTGCATCAAGCTCCCTTCAAAAGGGTTAGTAAAAGGACCATATTGACCTGTTGATTAGCTACTTAAAGGCAAAGTGCAGCAGAGAAATTCCACTTCCCATCCAGGCTATTTACAGCACTCACACTCTACAGTGGCTGAATTAGAGATGAAGTGCTATTTAACCTGCAGATCATGAAGCACAACAGAGACGATGTGGAATCAAGCATATATTTGCTAAAGGATTGTAGTAGAGGCGGTAACATCAGCTAATGATTACAGTTTGTACATCAAAGACTGTGCCCTATGGGGTAGCTATTTTGAGTATAAACATAAGATGCCCTTTAAAAATATGGGCACAGAGTTTATCTGTCCCCCTTCTTACTCCCCAACAGGGACTCAAAGTGGCTTATAACATTTTGCACTTTTCCATTCCATCCCCACCAGAATCCTATGAGGTAGGTCAAGTTGACAGAATGCAATGGGCCCAAGGGTCACAAGCAAGCTTCTGAGGCAGAATGGGTCGCCCAGATCTTAGCCCAGTGCTCTAACCACTATACCACACTGGATCTTGCTACAAAAGGTGTCACAAAGGAATGATTCCAGAGATAATCTGAGCTCAGTTGAAATAAGAACTTTCTCCCAGAACTAGCAGTGAACCTGAAAACTCTGGGGAGAGTCAGTGTCAGTCCCCAGTAGGAAAAAAGGAGTGTGGGCATACATGAAACCAACAGGGGAAAATTGCCTTCAGAAGGACTGGGCTTAGAGATGTAGGTTCATAATTGCTACTGAAAAACAAGTGCACCAAGGAGCTCCAAACCATCACTGATGGGTCCGAAGGCTACCATGGGACCAAAAGGAGAGGCAAACTGCTCAGGCTTGCTTCCAAAAAACACACTTGCTGAATGGTTCCAAGTTCCCCATGGAGACAGCAATACCAAGTCTTGCCTCTGTTTGAAGCAGCATCTGTGGTGAAAGCTCCTTAGGATTAAGCATCAGTGCTGAGAGACTGCAGCAAGATGGTGGAACCGAAGCTGCTTGGTCACACTGTCAGCTTTAGAACTAGGCATTAGCAAGAGGGCTTCAAGCCGAGACCAAGAGAGAATCGATTCTAACCTGGGAACCAAGGCAGTCCCAATAGAGTGAGTCTGGTAGTGCTAAGTGAAGCTCAGCTGGCCTCAAGTATAACTACTTTGTCTCAGAACACAAATAAAAACAAGAACAGCAACTCTCCAAAACTGAAGGAGCTGCAGCCAAAGGCTTTGAAAAGAGATGGTGAATCGGAGCCTCTGCCAGACCACACCTTGACAGGGAGGAGGAAGGTGCCTTTATTTAGGCTGACCAAAGCCTCTGAAAAAGAGCTCACTTGAGTCCAGGTCTGTCAAATTATGCCTTCTGGCTAAACTGGTGACAGAAAGAGCGGCCAGCTCTGTTGTGTGATCTCCCCAGGCAGATAAGGCACAGACAATGAGCATATATCAGCACCATTTTAAAGGCACACTCAGCACAATCCTGAGAAGGCCCCTTTTGAGCCATAATGACAAAGTGGAAAACCAGAAATTTTTCTTCTTTAAATGTAGTTTATTCCTCACTAGAATGACCAATGACAAAAAACTTTTGATAGAAACGAGTCTCCCCAGCCTCAAGAATGTGGTTAGGTGAAAAAAGAGACCAGCAATGGAGATCCTCTCTTCGCTGTGGCAAAAAGAGTAGTGCCCCTCCTCCAGGTCATGTGATCATTTTGGTGGGAAAGTGCCAAAGGAAGGAGGGGCACTCCTAACCTATTAGAAAGCTTTGGAAATATTTTCCATGGCTGGCCTGAACACACACAGTCCCAAAGTGGGACTGCACAGAAGCCACAACAAAGACTGCAGTGCCTTGTATCTTGAGCCTTGTTTTATTGACCTGTTGCCCCTCACACCATACAAAACCTTTATCACACTAATCCTTGCAAAAACAAATTGAAATTTAATGGGCAAACACACACACACATACATGCAAACACCTGCAGGCACAGAACTTAAAATAAAATCACAATATGTTGTTACTCATCCTTAAGCAAGTAGGTCTCCTTACTTCTGGCTTATGTGTAGTCCTTTTAGGGATAGGCAGCATTTAATTTCAGAGCATGTTTCTTACCTGCATGGCAAAGTGCTGGTGCTGCTGACTTGGCTCACCAGGGTGTGGTTCTGGTACTCGTGGTGATCCATATGCTTTTGCAGGATCAGACCCATGCAGAGAGCCAAACAGTCCTGGCACTGCTGGCCTCTGACAGGAGAAAAGAAATCACACACGAGGCTTGTTAGGAAACGGAACTTGTAAAAAGGAACAGTCTTCAATTACTTCAGATCCAGAATTCACTTTTCAATCTGCTACATGGCACCTATTCTTTACTTTTAAAAAAGAACATATCTAGCTGCTCCTCAACCTTTCCAGTTATTTCTCTCTAAAAACATATTGCAAGTGGTGGAGTGAGGCTTGATCCAGCTATGAGGAACACTTGTGGCTGCCAGTTGAAGAACAGCCCACTAGAGAAGCTGATGACAATGTTTACCATCAGCAGAACCAACTGGTAACCACATGCCCTACTAGGCGAGGGCTTTGCCCATTTTCCTGAAATGGGGCAGGTGTCACATTGGGGACGATGCTCAGAAGAGCCACAGGCAGCATATCACAGAGCCACGCCTGGCTTCTGAGCCACAGAGTGACTATCAATGATCTAATGGATTCAAATAAAAGGTTCCTACCCTGATGACTTTTTCTTCTGAGTATTAGGAATCAACTACAGACCAAGTGTATTGTAGAGATGAGCTCAAATCATACATTTCTTGGGAAGTTTTAACAGGTTACTCATGATTGTTGTATTTGAGGCTGGATAGGAATTTCTCCCTCGAGTCAGATGTTCTAATTTTTTAGAGCACTGACCTTTGTTTCTTGAACCATCTATTGATGTATATAAGGCTAAGAGGCCTGGCCTTTCTGGCAGATGGCTGGCCTAGATGAGCTTTTTATCACTTTCAGAATCTGAGAGGAATATCTTTGGAATATGAACCAATGGACTGTTTACTGGTCACATTAAAATGGTGCTTAAACTGCCAATTACTAGGTCCAGACTAGGTCTCTTTCTTCCATCAAGTACATGGATTTTTTCAAGTGTGATGTAAACTCCACCAAGGGGGAAATAATGAGGAAAGGGAGCAAAGATTAGGACAGCATCAAGGAGGGTATAACAAAGGAAGAGGAGCTTGAATGCCTTGTTAATAATGTTGGAATTTGGCTACAATTTCTGCCAAAATGTTCCCCTCCCCTATTGACTCATTAGACTGGTATTTACCATCTGCCCAGGATGGGATACATGGCTGGGCATTCCACCGTAGTGGTGTGACTGCAGGAAGCCTCGGCCATTGGAAGAGGCCACCTCCCCAGTGGGTGGCATCGAACTGCTACTTGGATCTTCCACAGAGGAGGATAAGGAGGAAGATGAAGAACTGGGAACTCGATGTTTTGCCCTATGTGGTGGAAGTTTTCCTCCATTTTGTAGATGCTGTTGTTTCCTGCCGGGCCCTTCAGAGTCCTTGGATCGTGTCCAAACACTACAGCGTATGGTTCGACGACTTCTTTTCTCCCGCTTCCCATCTTCTCTGATCCAGAACTCATCATCTGTGTCCCCATCTTCTCCAGGGAAGTGCTTCATCATTGCCCGGTGAAAACATCTTTCCAAGTTGTAAGCCATTTTAGTGTATTCTGTGTTTAAAGAACAAAATGAGCAAAAATGTCCTAGGCAGGGGCATTTTGAACATTCATACTTTTTCTTCTGTTTAAGCCTACCCTCAAACTCCAGACTCTACTGCTACAAGATTACTTCTGCTTAAAATCAAGCAGAATTGGAACCAGAGAGTCCTATGGACATCAGTGCATGACTTCTTTGGGGCCTTAATAGCACTACATTTTTAACTGTGGAATTTAATAGTTGCCTTATGATTAATGTGTAAATCTTTAGTCTAATAGTTGCACAGAATAGCACCAGGACATGTATGCTGAGTCTAGTCATATCTCAGAATAGGCGCAGTACTTACCAATGGCTAGAAGATACGGCTTTAGAATAAGCCAGAGTTTCTAATGCTTCTCCCATGACTAGCAGTTCATGTGCAGATTTAGGACAAACAAAATAAAGTGCTTTTTCACATATAATTAATTTGTGGAACTTGCTGCCAAGGGATACAATGAAGGCTGCTATTTTAGATGGCTTTAAAAATTCATGGAGGACAAGCCCATTAATGACCATTAGCCATAATTGCCAAATGTGACCACCGTGTCTGAAGGCAGTGTGCCTCTGAATGCCAGGTGCTGGAGGGGATACAGTGTGGGTGGGTGGAACTTTGTGCCCCTGCTGTGGTACTTCTGGGCATCTGGCCAGTCACACTATTTAAGACAGGATGGTGGACTAGATGGATCATTAGCCTGATCCAGTGGGCTCCTCTTATGGTTTATGAGCTTACCAGCTGCTTTACTTCCTGCCACACAAAACAGACAAAACCATTTCTAAAGCTCTTACCACTGTTTTCACCATTGTATTTAAGGCAGTTCCTGAACATGGTCTTCATGTCTCCCACAAATTGTTCCTTGGTGTAGTATTGTCCTCCATTTAGTTTCTTTTCCATGCTAGAGATATCCATGGGAGACTGAAAAATACCAAGCTTTGCTTCAGTCATAATATTTATTTAAAACAAGAGAGTGAGAAAGGCAGTAATGGATGGTCTTCATGTCTCCCACAAATTGTTCCTTGGTGTAGTATTGTCCTCCATTTAGTTTCTTTTCCATGCTAGAGATATCCATGGGAGACTGAAAAATACCAAGCTTTGCTTCAGTCATAATATTTATTTAAAACAGGAGAGTGCAAAAGTCAGTACTGGGATACAATCTCAAAAATGACAGAATGATTTCGGTCCGATTCCAAGGCAAACCATTCAACATCACAGTAATCCAAGTCTATGCCCCAACCACTGATGCAGAAGAGGCTGAAGTGGACCGGTTCTATGAAGACCTACAAGACCTCATAGAACTAACACCAAAAATGATGTCCTCATCATCATAGGGGACTGGAATGCTAAAGTAGGAAGTCAAAAGGTAACCGGAATAACAGACAAGTTTGGCCTTGGAAAGCAAAATGAAGCAGGGCAAAGGTTAACAGAGTTTTGTCAAGAGAACACACTGGTCATAGCAAACACCCTTTTCCAACAACCTAAGAGGCGACTCTACACATGGACATCACCAGATGGGCAACACCGAAATCAGACTGACTATATAATTTGCAGTCAAAGATGGAGAAGCTCTACCCAGTCAGTAAAAACAAGACCTGGAGCTGACTGTGTTTCAGATCATGAGCTACTCATTGCAAAATTCAGACTTAAACTGAAGAAAATTGGGAAAACCACGAGGCCATTCAGGTTTGACCTAGATCGCATCCCTGATGAATATACAGTAGAGGTGAAGAATAGATTCAAGGGTCTAGATTTGATAGATAGAGTGCCTGAAGAACTATGGACGGAGGTTCGTGACATTGTACAGGAGGCAGCAATCACCACCATCCCAAAGAAAAAGAAATGCAAGAAAGCAAAGTGGCTTTCTGATGAGGCTTTACAAATAGCAGAGGAAAGAAGGAAAGCGAAAGGCAAAGGCGAAAAGGAAAGATTTACCCAACTGAACGCAGATTTCCAGAGAACAGCAAGGAGAGATAAGGAGGCCTTCCTGAATGAACAGTGCAAAGTAATAGAAGAAAACAATAGAATGGGAAGGACTAGAGATCTCTTCAAGAAAATTGGAGAAATCAAGGGAGCGTTCCATGCAAAGCTGGCCATGATAAAGGACAAAAACGGTAGGGACCTAACAGAAGCAGAAGAGATTAGGAAAAGATGGCAAGAATACACAGAAGAACTATACAAGAAAGACCTCAATGTCCTTGACAAACACGACGGTATAATCACTGACCTTGAGCCAGACATCCTGGAATGTGAAGTTAAATGGGCCTTAGAAAGCATTACTAACAACAAAGCTAGTGGAGGTGATGGTATTCCAGCTGAGCTATTCAAAGTCTTAGAAGATGATGCTGTTAAAGTTCTGCACTCCATTTGCCAGCAAATTTGGAAAACGCAACAGTGGCCACAGGATTGGAAAAGATCAGTATACATTCCAATCCCAAAGAAGGGCAATGCCAAGGAATGTTCAAACTATCGCACAATTGCACTCATATCACACGCTAGCAAGGTCATGCTCAAGATCCTACAAGCTAGGCTTCAACAGTACGTGGATAGAGAACTACCAGAAGTACAAGCTGGGTTTCGAAGAGGTAGAGGAACTAGAGATCAAATTGCCAACATTCGCTGGATTATGGAGAAAGCAAGAGAGTACCAGAAAAATATCTACTTCTGCTTCATTGACTATGCTAAAGCTTTTGACTGTGTGGATCACAACAAACTATGGCAGGTCCTTAAAGAGATGGGAGTACCAGACCACCTCACATGTCTCTTGAGAAACCTGTATAAGGGCCAAGAAGCGACAGTTAGAACCGGATATGGAACAACTGATTGGTTCAGCATAGGAAAAGGAGTACGACAAGGATGTATATTGTCGCCTTGCTTATTTAATATATATGCAGAGTACATCATGCGAAATGCTGGCCTGGATGAATCACAAGCGGGAATTAAGATTGCTGGGGAAAAGATCAACAACCTCAGATATGCAGACGATACCACTCTGATGGCAGAAAGTGAAGAGGACCTCAAGAGCCTCTTGCTCAGGGTAAAAGAGGAGAGCGCAAAAGTGGGCTTGAAGCTCAACATCAAAAAAACTAAGATCATGGCATCCGGCCCCATGACTCCTTGGCAAATAGAAGGGGAAGTCGTGGAAGTGGTGACAGACTTCACGTTCCTGGGATCCCAGATCACCGCAGACTGTGACAGCAGTCATGAAATTAAAAGACGCCTGCTCCTTGGGAGGAAAGCGATGGCGAACCTAAACAGCATGATAAAAAGTAGAGACATCGCCCTGCCAACAAAAGTCCGCATGGTCAAAGCAATGGTATTCCCAGTAGTCATGTATGGCTGCGAGAGTTGGAATATAAGGAAGGCCAAGCGCCGAAGAATAGATTGTTTTGAACTGTGGTACTGGAGAAGATTCTTGAGAGTCCCTTGGACTGCAAGAAGATTAAATCAGTCAATCCCAAAAGTAATCAACCCTGACTGTTCCCTGGAAGGCCAAATAATGAAACTGAAGCTCAAATACTTTGGCCACCAAACGAGAAGGGAGCACTCACTGGAGAAGACCCTGATGCTGGGAAAGATTGAAGGTCAAAGAAGAGGGGGACGGCAAAGGATGAGATGGTTAGACAGTGTCATAGATGCAACGAACATGAAATTGAGCAAACTTCAGAGGACGGCGGAAGACTGGAAGGCCTGGCGTGATCTGGTCCATGGGGTCATGAAGAGTCGGACTCGACTGTGCAACTGAACAACAACAAATGCTACCTCACAACAATACTGGGTCCCCAAGGTGGCAAATCAGAACATTAAAAACATTTCAAACATTAGAAACATCTCCAAACATTAAAGATAGTGTTTAAAATATAAATATATACACATTACTTTATTTAAGACAATTAAATAAAACACAAACAGGGCTAATAAGAGTTAATGAGGGAATGCCAAAAAGTCTTCACCTGCTAGCAGAAAGCAACGATAGAGGGCAACAGACAAATTTTCCTGGCATGGAAGTTCCAAAGTTTCAGTGGTACAACTGAGATGGCCCTTTCCTCAATAATGGGCCTTGAAAGCTCCAGCAAGGCCCTCTCAAAAGCAGATTTCTGCAAGCCAGTGATCAGAATGCAGAAATATGTTAGCAGCCTACCCATTAGGATGCTTACCTTAATGATCTGATAGTAGTTTGGAGCATAGGATTCATCAACTGGCTCCAAGAAAGGCCAGGAGTCCTTGTGGGCTTTCACCACATCTAGAACTGTCAGTAGTTAAAAAAAAAAAAAAGGCGGTAAAGTTATACATACAAACAGAATATTAACTCTGTTTTTTAAAAAGCACAACCTGCAAAGTAAAGGTCTGGAGACTGACCTTTGTACATAGCTGTAAACTCATCATCCAGTTCAAAGCTGCAAAGAGGAAATGCAAAAATGAATATAAAGCCTCTCAGCCTCCAACTCTGGCTCTTGCACAGAATTGTAAAAGCTGAATGCTATATTCCAGCTGGGGGAATCTGCCAATGTCATGGTCCTAATTCTCATGCCACATGCCGTCAGTATACTTACAGGTCCTTGGCCTTCCTCTCCTCCCTAGCAGGTGAGCTGGGATCCAGATGGGAAAGCTCTGGAGGAAGCTCCTTTCCCTGGGCCAGCAAGCATGCCCCCTCTTCCCTGAGCTTCCTTCTCTTTGCTCGTTCTACAGATGGGGAGAAAGTCATTACATCTCTGAGTAGTTTCCACATACAAAAGTCTCAGGGGTTGCTCCATTCCAGGTTTCTGGAGATCATTCACATGCATGTAAATCACCAGTGAATTGCTGTCATCCTTTCAGTTTGGTGTGAGAGCCAGTTTGGTGTTGTGGCTAAGTGCGCGGACTCTAATCTGGGAGAACCGGGTTTGATTCCCCTCTCCACTTGCACCTGCTGGATGACCCTAGGCAAGCCATAGTTCTGGCACAGCTGTTCTTGAAAAAGAACATTTTTCTGTCAGAGCTCTCTCAGCTCCACCTACCTCACAAGGTGTCTGTTGTGGGGAGGGGAAGGGAAAGGAGATTGTAAGCCGCTCTGAGACACCTTTGGGTAGTTAAGGGTGGGATATAAATCCAATCTCTTCTTCTTCTTCAAAATGTAATGAAGTCATGGGGGATGCTGTGCTGCTGTTTTCCTGCTTCTGAAGCTTCAAGCCACAAACTACCATGCAGTGATACTACAGCGGGGCTTACAAAAGGTTGTTCAGCATAGTATGTCTTATCAAGGTCAGCAGTTTGGCATGACTGCTCCTAATCAGGCAGTGGCAGGGGAATTGGTTTTACTATTTTGCTAGGAAGAAGGGTGCCCATTGGGTGGGGAAAAGACAAAACAGCCCACCAATATGTTTGCATCAGCACACTGCATCCATAAGGGAGATATTCCCTACATGGGTGACCATGTGAGGCCCTAACTTGCTAAATTACAAAACTGCATTATGGAATCTGACCAGTCAGTTAATGGGACGGGGCATTTTGTGTGGCAAAGTGCTCTTCCAGCCCCTGGAACAATGTCTGGAGAGTAGAGTGAACTCTAAAATACAGATGTTGGTCATCTTTGTAATATACAAATGAGTTAATATAAATAAAGGTGGTAAAATAAGCAATATTTCAATATGCATTTCTCACTATGATTCTGTGATGGCTAGACTGGGTTATAATGCAGAAGATTTCCAGGAAAGGTAACTTGGATGATGAAAAGTACACAGGTTCCTCAAGAGGAGTATGACCACAACTGTTTAAGTAACAGAACCCAGTTATTAATATTTCTGCAAATGGAAGGTAAAGTAAGCAGTCACAGCTACTAAACAATCATTAAATGACTAAGTATATATATCTGATATCTGATTTTCAAATGTGAATTAACAAAATGCCTAAATAAAGTGACACAAGAGTTATGATGTACAAATGTAGTGACTGCAACATACATAAACCTAAGTTACATGTAGAAACCAATTCATTCCCACCCCCCATCCCAAATTTCAAATCTGGTCACATGGAAACCTGTTAAGAAAAAAGCACAGAGGGGGATTATCAAACTCTCCATCTGTTTAACTTGCTCCTCCCTCCTCCCCTGACTCCTTCAAATATTAATGGTGGAAGACTACTGGATTCCTCTCCTGACCCAAAGCAAAACCATTTCCAAAGTCTGTTAAAACATCTCTCTAAAATAAGAGGAGCATTCTGCTTCATAAAGTGATCCACATACCTTCCACTGCCTTCACTTTCTCCTCCATTTCTCGCTTCCTCTCTTCCTTTAACATTTGTTCCTGCTCCTTCTTCTGAACTGCCAGAAGGATTTGGCGCTCCTCCTCTTCTTCTCTACGTCTCTGCTTCTCCATTCTGCTAAGCACCATTGGGGTTACCTGCAGAAAATGATATGCAAAGTGGAGTTGCAATGCCTGAAATTGTGGTTATGGCTTAAATGTACCTAGAGTCCTCTTAAATATTTAGATACAGAGAGACTCTGAATAGGAACTTTAGTAATTTAAAAACTTTTTTTTAATACTGTTTTTAAAAAATAAAGACTATTTCACAGTAGAATGGTTTTTCTGTATTTTTTTTCTTGTTGCTCATACTTATAATGATGAAATGGGCAGATTTGTAAGAATGAGTAAACAGTGAAGAATTAAACAACCACAATAGGACTATAGCGCTTACAAACACTGTCAGAGTGTATGCTGAACTAAATATCCCCTAACCTATGCATCATTCTTCAGACAGTACCATAATATATTAAACAGACAAACTACATGGTTCAGAAAAATGGTCCATTCAGATTAACATTTCTTAGCCACCAGCAAAGACTATTCACCATTCCATCATCACCTCTGGCCTTCAGTATGGAAACATATAGGAACATCCTGAACATTAACAGTGCCCATTTAGTATGGCTGAGCCTAAATGAGGGACTACTGTTTGTCAAACATTTTGCCCCTATGAAAAGCATCTCTCCGCTATTTCAGCAATCTTTCAATGGGTGAACACAAATAGGGCCAAAGTGTTCACCTATTTTTTAAAAACTATATTCTGCCTCCTATCCCATATAATTTAAATGGGTAAATCAAAGAATCAGAATATAAAGCAAACCAGGTTAAAAGATTAAATATCCCAGACTGAGCATCTTCATTGAAATAAGATAATTTCCCCACATGTTTATAAGCAACTAATTTACAGAGTGTGATGGCCACAACAGAAAAGTCACTATTCTGTACTCCCGCCAATCTGGTCTCCTGCCTAAATGGGATCATGAGTAGGAAGGTCTGCTTCAACTGATCTTAATAGACATCTGCCCATGATCAACAATAATTCAAAAATCATTGCAAAGTTCAAAAGCAATTCCTCTTTAAAGGTGGATCTGAAATGCAGCAAGAGTTATAATTAGTGATTCCTTCTTAAGTGCAACTCAACAGAATCTATTGTGGCAACCAAGCCTAGAGGCATGGATGACAGTTGCCAGGCCTCTCTACTAAGTAGAAAACGCCTTAAATGCAATATGTTCCTATTAAGGTAAGATGTGCCACTCTGAAAATCCAGATGGTGGTGGAAAGTACTGTCAAGTCACAGCCGACACCATATGTGTTTTCAAGGCAGGAGACATTCAGATATGGTTTGCCATTGCCTGCCTCTGCATAGTGACCTTTGTCTTCATTGATGGTCTCCCATCCAAATACTAACTAGGGCCAACCCTACTTAACTTTCAAGATTTGACAAGATCAGGCTAGCTTGGGCTATACAGGTCAGGGCAAAAATCCAGGAGTGCTAACCAACTATCACATTTTAAAAAGAGGCAGAGACACCTGTCCTATTATAAACCCCTTGTTTATAACTTCCCCACGACCCAAAGTCCCCAACTACCATTACTTTCAATTATGTTATAATCTCTAATTCTAGTTCTGTGAATCCAACAGCACAGAGTACGTTATGCAAATTAGATGTTAGTTCTAGCTATGGGCTATATAGCATTCCATTAAAATATGCAATTTCCCCAAAACAGTTTCTGGAAGAGAAAATGGAAAATTATAGAGAATTATGAATTCAATTTTGTCAATAAACAGAACAAGAGGCCGGACCCGCGATACTTGCGGGGGGG